CTGTTTTGACGCCTGGGTGCTGAATTAGCATGCTGGTCCCTACCCTCTGTATGGACGTGCAGCCCCCGGGATCCAGTCAGCAGCTCTTCCCTTTTCCCGAGAGCCTCTGCAGCCAGGCTGGATGTTCCCCGGAGATCTCATCTCAGGGTTTGGGATCTGGTTTTGTTCCCAGAAGGATAACTGTTGTTTCCCTGCTAACGGGCTGAGCTCCTAGGTAGCAAGGGGTAAGGAAGCGGCTGTTTAACTATAGACTAGTAACAGTCAGGAAGCATGTGTCTTAGGAGGAATGATGCCCCCAGGGAATGTGTGCCTCTCACAAGCCAAAATGTCGGGTACAGGCATTTCTCACGTGTCAGAGCTTTGCCATTGTACTGCCAACCATGGGCCGCCTCTCTCCCCAGTGCGGCCCCCCCAAGAACCTGGACTCCATTCTTCTCCCACCCTTTGTTTCTTGTGCAAAGGCCCTGAGGCAGAAGAATGGGGCCTGTTTGGCCACTGTGGCCGGAGTGGATTGACAGAGAAGAGGGGAGGTGGGACAGAAGCCAGGCTGGCCGCAGGAGGTAACCTGGGTCCACTCCCCCCACTCCCCAGATGACACAGGCCCGTGCGGCCCTCCTGTACTAAGCCCGGTCTCTGGGGGACCCAGCGGATTCCTCAGGGGAACCTCGCCGGTGCCAGCCCAGAGAGCCTTGCCCATACCCACAGATAGAGCCCTCCTAGAGCTGTCCCCAGCGAGAGCCTAAAACTCCGCCTCTGTGTTTGTGACAGGAGTCGGAGCGGCTGGAGCTCATGAACGCCGAGCTGAAGACCCAGATCGAGGAGCTGAAGCAGGAGCGGCAGCAACTCATCCTGATGTTGAACCGCCATCGCCCCACCTGCATCGTCAGGACCGACAGCGTCAAGACCCCGGAGTCAGAAGGAAACCCGCTGCTGGAGCAGCTAGAGAAGAAGTGACCAGGGACTGGGAGGAGGCAGAGGAGAAGGAGGACGGGTCCAGTGGGCCCGTCCTTGGTGCATGGAAAAACTTAACCAGGAGGCTCAGCTCGGCCAGCACCAGCCGGGCTATTTTGTGAAACTCTTATCAGCCACAGGAGAAGAGCAGGCTGGGGAAACCCAGAAGGACCCAGCGCCGAGACCAAAGCAGACCCACGGGAGGGGCTGTCCCGCCTGGGGCCCAGCTTGAAGGAGGCAGGACACAGGCACCAGGCCAGCGAGCGGGATACCCAGCCAGGCGGCCTCCCCTCCAGGGCACCCACCCAAGGGACCTTCGAGCAGCCAGGAAAAGCCATGAGTCGCAACCAAAATGTGGCTGAGGATGGACCTCAAAGTGAAACTGCCGTCTGCCTGTGCCGGCCCCGACCCTGACCCTGTTGGAGGCTGGAGGGGGCACAGCGTGGGGCCCCGCTGCACCCCTCGGCCCAGCCACCTCGGTCCAGCGCGGCCCTGCCCGAGCGGCAGCCGGGGCCCACCCTCGCCGGCCCCGCTGGAGTCTGCTGTGGGCACAAGGCGCGGGCGCCCTTCCAAAGCACATACTCACTGAATGTTTACAGACTGGCTGTCCTGGCAGGGGCTTTCAACTGCACATGTTTTTTATACTTTCTTTTTTTTTTTTTTTTAATATTTTTTACAAAAAAAAAAGATTTTATACAAGCAATATATATATGGATTTCTATAATCACTCGATGTGATACAGTATAAATATGCTATGGTTTGTTTGTTACGAACAGATATCAGCAGTTAAGGCCGTCGTGTGTAACTCCTAAGTACTGTAGTCTCTGGGTGTGGGGGGTGGCCGGGGCGGGGGCGGGGTGCATTTCCATCCTGGTAAACCCTTCATAGTACTCAGTCCTGTATCACTCAGTAAATGTTACTCTTACTTACTCAGCCGCCTCTTGTGGTGTTTGCCTAGGGACTGGGCGCTGGGCTGCGGTGGGCCGTGCTGGGAGCGTTGGCTCTAGACTTCCGCCCTTGCTGACGGAGCTTCCGCTCGTGAGCTACATTCTGTGCTGGCTCCTTGCCAGGGAGCATCCATCGCCCCCAACTCATCCAGGCCCAGGGACATTGAACTTGCAATGACTCATTGAAGGTTTTCTTGCGTGACGAGCATGGATAGCCTCATTCACGTCTCCTAAGAGCATAAAAGAGGCACCAGTCTCCTCATTTTACAACTTAACTGAGGGGCAGAGAGGGCAAGCCTTGTATCCAAGGTCACCCAGCTCGTGAGGGGCTGAGCTGATATTTGAACTCTGCTTCTGAAGCCCCGTGTGACTCCGCCTGCTGCCTGCTGATGGTGATTGTGCCTGCCGTGGAGTGTCTCACTCCTGGAAACAGGAAGCCTGTGAGGCCGCATGTATAGTTTCTGGGAGGGCTGGACAGAGTTCAAGGCAGATCGTGGAGAGAACCATTAGTTCAGGAAAATGTGTCCCTGCCCAGGACCGTCATCCACACCCTGACCTCCACTACCCAACGCCTGCTGGGGGACCAGCTCAGCTCCTGACGGCCTCTGCTAGGCCCTGGCAGTTCACTTTCGCGCATGTTGTCTCATTGGATTGAAGTTTTACGAATCAGGTAGGACAGGGGATTTTAACTCCGTCGTGTAGTTGTGAGAACAGAAGCTTTCCACGGTTAAAGAGGTTGACCTGATGGCTGACCTCCGCTCCTACCTTCTAACCGTCACCGGGCTAGATAACTAGGTGTTGATGACGAGTCTTCACTCCAAGACAGCAGTCACCTTGGGCTACCTCCCAGAGCATGTGCAAGGGCTTCTGAGATGGACAGACAGACAGAACAGCTCCCTCGGTCCTTTGGCCCCTCATCCCACACCCGCCACGCTCAGCCTGGCCTGGGAAGCAGGGTCTGGTCCGCTCACTGTCAGCGGTGGCAGTGCACACAAACCCTGGGGCCATCATGCTTTCCATCTGCGAGAAAAGGAAGGTGCAGACTTGCCGGACCCTCCAAGTACCCTTCCGACATTTCTGCAGGACTTTCACTGGCTCTGGTCCCAGCCTCAGGCTCCGTCGTGGGTGGGCTGTCTCCCAGAATCAGTGAGCTGTATGTCTCCTCCCAAGCAGGAACCCCGCTCTGTCCTGAGCAGCTGGAAGTCAATCTGAGCCTGAGGCCTGTGTGTTTCTCTGTGCCTGGTGCCTGATTGTGTCTCTGTGGTCAGTCCCCACACCCTTGCTGGGAGGTGGGTCTCACTGTCCTGTGCAGTGTCAGAGAGAACATAGTCTCCCCTCCTCTCTTTCGCATCCCCCCAGAACACAGTCCTGTAGGCCATCTCCAGGGGCAAGTGCCCCCTGGAGGGCTGAGAGCAAGTGCTCCCTGGTCGGGGTCTAGCCTCAGTAGCCTGGGGAATTCTGCAGGGGACCTGAAGAGATGGACATCTGAGAATTCTCAACTCTCAGATGCTCATCTGCGCATGCGTACAGATGCCACACTTGAAAGGCAACAGGTTCAGAGGCAGTCTAATGACGAGCCAGGGGCTTCACCTATCTTATCGGTAAAGTGGGAGCAGCGATGGCCCAGGCCTTGCTTATGGGATCGTTGTCAGAGTCAGGAGAGGAATGTGTGTCAAGGTGTGTTGTGAAATACAAAGCACCATAAAGGGTAATTATCTTGCCCTCTGTGAGCATGGATAGTTGTTATTTACCACATAGTACACATTATTTGAATAGCTTTTAGTCTAAAGGCTTTGCGTCCTGACCCTTCCCAGGAATATCTGGGCTCTGAGACTCCCGGTTCCTCTGGCTCCTTACTGCCTACCACCACTCCAGTTGGGCTCAGCACCCCTCCCTGGGCCTCACGGAGCACCCTTGTACCACCTCTGCCCTTTGCTGTGAGCATCCACTGTGGAACCCGAGAAGGGTAAGACCCATTAGCACTCAGAGGGACAGAAAGTAGTTATGTGTTGGTCAGGACACGGATTAGAAGGCAAGGAGCCACATTACCAGGGGAAATTGGTGGCTACTGTGTAAAGCAATTTGGCAATAACCGGTCACGCGAAAGCTAAACACATCCTTTGACCCAGCAATTTCCCTCCTAAGTATATACCTTGGAGGAACTCTAGCATAGAAGCCCAAGGGAAAGTACCAGAATGTTCACTGGAGCTTTGTGATAAAGAGAAATTGCAAACAACCTCAGTGCTACCCCAGAGCAGATAAACAAACTGTACTTTCATAAAACTGAATAGTACTCAGCAGTTAAAAAGAACGAGCAGAGCTCCAGGTAGTTCTGTGGGTAAATCCCAGCCACATCTTGCTGAACTGGAGGATGGGGGAGCAGAAGGACACTTGCAGTATATGCCAATTGTGTAATCTTTCTAAACATGCAAATTGATATTTTACTGTTTATGGGTACACAAAGATCTGGGGATCAGAATTATAAAAGCATGCACACAAAGATACTTTCAGGGATCATTTCTATAATTAAAAGCATGCATAGGAATGCTATAAATACCAAAATCAGGAATAGGAACTGTTCCTGGGGGCATGAGGATGGGGGTGAGGGCTGGTATCTGCACAGCTAAGGCAGACAACGGTTTTGATGGCAAGGGTAACATTTCGTTTCTTTTTTTTAAACTTTTGAGCAAATATACACTAATGTTAGAAATTGTCAGAGGTGGGAGATGTGCACACAGATGTGGGGTATTTTTTCCAAACTTTTCTGTATGCGAGTGTATTTCATAATAAAGGAGAACAAGCCACAAAACAAATAGAAGGTTTTGTTTTTCCATTCTTTCCTTAGCAAACTCAGGAAATAAAAACAAAATCTAAAATTACAATGGCAGCGGCAGCATTTGTGCTTTGAATTTATGCAGATTTAATTATATGCCTAGAGGGAGAGAGACACGCTCCAAGGCTGTGATTTGTCTAGCTGGCCCTTCCAGTTAGTAAGCCCCCTGCCTGGGGTGCAGGTGCCCTGGAGTGAGGTTCCCGGGGGCGTGCAGGCACCTTGGGGAGTATTAGGCGTGCAGGCACCTTGGGGAGTATTAGCCTCAGTCAGTGGAGCTTGGTCCCGGCTCTCAAAGGCAAGCGAAGACATGTTCAAGGTTAATTTGGACTCTCTACATTTTCTCATCACAGGCTGACTTTTTGCCCACCCCCTGTGTGAAATGCAGCCACGGTGTCTTTAAGTGAAGCTGCGAGCTGAAGCCAAACCCAGGGGAGCAATTCAAAGCCATAAATCCAGCTTTCACAGGTAGCAATTTCACAGGTAGCAGCAATTTCCTGTTGCTGCTGTAACAAATTACCATGGTTTTAATGGCTTAAATCAACACAGATTTTAATATTTCATTGTTCTGGAGGTCTGAAGTCCAAAAGGGTCAGACTGAATGGAAATCAAGGTGTCAGCAGCATTGCTTTCCCTTTGTGGACCGGGGATGAGGGTGTGGGGTGTCTGCTTTCTAAGCCTTACCTGTTCATGGAGACTGCCCACCTTCCTTGGCTCATGACCCCAGCCCCATCTCAAAGCCAGCAATGGCTGGCCATATCCTCTCACTTCACATGGCTCTGACCCGCTCTTTTATCTCCCTTTTGCCTTTTAAGGACTCTGTGATTATTTTGGGCCCATCTGGGTATTGTGGGGAGAAGATCAGGGTAAGGCCAGAGGCTCAGAGGTGAAAGAATTCACCAGCGACAGTGGAGAACAGAACAGGCGGGCTTGTTGATACACTGCCAGCCGGGAGAAGTCCGCAGGGCGAGGAGGATTTGCGCTCTCTTAGACTGTTTTCGCAGCTTTCTACCATGTACACCAGTTTGCACAGTTAACTACTGGGATGTCTGGTCTCCGTGCTGGTCTTTGACACGTGTTCTGGCTTCTGCTTCTGCATTCCTAAAGCTGGGCTGGTTTTTCTGGTCATGGTGGTAGGTTTTATGGCCTTGACCCCAAGGCAGCCTTGTCCATCCCTCTTTATCTATTCAAACCCTCTAACCAGCCTGTCTGGCCAGGCCAGGGGGCTTCGTTTTTAACCTTACTAAAACTGACACTGGATTACCCAGGATACTCTTGTTTTAAGGTCAGTTGTATCCTAACTTAAATCCCTCCTTGCCCTCTGACAATAACACATGCATACTTTCCAGGGGTTAGGACTTGCGCATCTTGGAGGAGTCCATTATTTTCCCACAACAGGAAATTAAGATTTGGGGGTTCTTAACAGCCACCTTCCTCAGTCCTTGGCAAGCCTGGCTGCCCCCAGTGTCTGGCAGGGTTGCTGGCACTGAGCACATGGGCAGCATCCCAGGCCTTCAGACAAGGTGTGAGTAAGAGAAGTAACGCAATAGATGCTGGCCTCACTTCTTTATATTGCACTTGTATAATTTCGAAGCAAGACTAAGCATCACAACAGATCTCAGCAAAGAAATGGCCTACAGATTCCTCTCCCCACCCTCCACATCTGGGTCCCTTTCATGCATCTTCAGACTGGGTGTTATCAGGTGGTCCCCAAGAAAAGAGGAGGCTCCAGGTCTCCTGCCCCAACCAAGGAAGCACGGAGCTGAGCAGGGAAGAGGAGAAGCTGGGGAAGAGGCTGGGAGAAGGAAGCAGGATGGAGAGCCAGAAGGAGCCCTGAGGGAGGCGCAGGAGCTGAGAGACATTGAAAAACCTGCACTTGCTTCTCGGCCTTAGACTGA